ATTTAAATAATAGAAGTATAATTTAGTTTAATGATTTTTTATTATTAAAACATTAAAGCAATTAGACTATATGTTAAGTAGGATACCAAAAATGATAATGTATTAAGACTCTGATTAATTTCAATTTCAAAAACAGTAATGTAATTATTTACTTCTAGGACTTGACTCGTGTATTAATGATTCATGGGCAAGATATGCTTATTTTAAAGGCATCAAATGTGCGTATCTTGTATAATCAGATGCGATTGTGGAAATAAAGCCAGTGGGTATTTGGCCGTAAGAGTCATATTTCAGATAAGCCAACTAGAAAATATTTGTAGCATCTAAATTAATAAAAGTTGATTTCCTTTACAAGAAATATTGTACTAAGTGGGTCGTAGATTGATTATTCAAGAAGATGCATAATCCTCTTTTATGAGTGAATTCGAATTAACCTAAGTGAAAGAAAAAGGATTAAATGTATAAATATTTTGCTTCAATTGCGCTAATTAGCCCACTCAAAGAGGCTTAGTTATAACAGTTTTTTTTTTAATGAGTTTCTTATATAAACATAGCTAATAAACACACTGTATGCTATCAGGTCACATGTCTTGTCAACTCATGATTCATAATAATTTGGTTCAGATTGCATGCTGGATATTAATTTTTTTAAATAGTAAGATGCGGAGGAGTTAGTTTTAATAACCATATAAGGCAGACTAATTTTTTGGCATTAAAGGAAAATACGTGTTAATCTGCACTCGCACTTATGCAAATATATTGATTCTTCAAGTGCATTGTAAGGTAATAGATAGATTTTCCAATTCTTAAATAAATTGATAGTCAAGCATCTGCATTTAGCATAGCCATGAGCGTCGATTTATTATGAATTTTAGCTAATGTTATTTAGCCATTATATAATTAAGACACAACAACAATACCAGCCTGAAATCTATACACTTCACATAGAATATTTGTTTCACGCTCGGATCAAATCTCTGGTCAGAACTAAACTAATTATATAAAGGCCTAAGCATATGCATGCATAATAAAAGTAGACTTTGGGATAAGCTTAAATATTTTTTTACCAAAATGTGCGATCATACTAAACAAGATGCAAAATGAGTCTAAAAAGAGAATTGATTAGGTTAAACAATTATACACGGTTGATATAGTTGGAAAATATGTTCATATTTTGTACATTATGGTACAAATAGGAAAGAACACAATTTACAAATTATTCAATAACCTAAATCTGTAAATGACGCTA